TTTTAATCTATTTCATGTTTTTAGTTTTGTTTGTATTTTTGTTTTATTGCTTTCAGGCAAAAGTTTGCATATTTTTCATGTTTTGAATTTTTTTAGTACTTATGTAAATGTATTACAGACATTTAAAAGAAAATGTATAATCTGTATCTAGGCACATATTCCATTCACACCTCTTCAGTATGACTTATTAATTAAGAGAGCGCTGAAAAGTGATTAAGAGCTAAAGCTCTGGAAGCATTTTGCCTATGTTCAATATTTGGCTCCATCAATCTCAAACTGTGTAACATTAGTCCAGCTACTAAAGCTTCTTTGAATTAATTCTCTCATCTGTAAATGAGGTTGTAGTAGTATCTAATAATATCACTCTATAGAGTTATTGTGAGCAGTAAATGAGCTATTAAATATAATGATATATATAATAAATACAGCAATGCCTGACACATGGTAAACACTATAGGTGTTATTTTTCATTGTATTATATTATTCAAGTCATCTATGCCTATTGATATTTTCTATTTTCTGTATTAAATATGAAGATATAGTGAAGTTCTCCCTGTGGCTCTAATTTTGTCAACTGTACCTTATGTTTCTAAGTTTTCCTTTAAATATTTTAAAGTGTTAAACACATAAATGTTAATAACTGCCATACATATTTATTCATTTATTTGGTATTCATATAAAGCATATTGATTTTCTTATTTGATGCTGCTGTCTTGGATTCTATAATGCTCATATTGCCAAGGCTGTTTTCTTTGCATTTGTTATTGCCTGGTATACAATTGTCCCTCTTTCAATGTTTTGCTTTTCTTTTTCATTTCATTTTATTGTGTCTGCTATTAACATTATACAATTAGTTTAGGTTCTTTTACCAACAGAAGAAGAGTTTAATTATTTTATAACAACTCCGATAACTGGGGGTTTTATTGTACTTCCACCCTTTTATTATCTAATTCGCAATTTTATGCTTTATCGCTCTTCTTTCCTAGAGTGTTCTATGTAAAACAAATTTTTCGTACTTTTTTTCTTCAGTAACATGAATATCAGAGTTATTAATTATATTAAGTATGGTTACTTTTACATTAAAAAGTTAACATCCTTGAAATTGCATTTTCCTATTACCTTAAGAAAGAACAATACCCATTTATGATTGTATGCAATGTGCATTAGCACATAATGATAACATGTAATTTTCTTTCTTTCCTTTTCATCCAGCTCTTTCAAGTTAGATGTTGTTAAGCTAAAGAACACCGATGCTATAATAAGCAAATTGTTCCCCACATGTACAGTAGTGGGCATTGTAATGTTATGGAAAGAACATGGGTTATGGATCTATACAGATGTGGTTTCAGATGCCAGCCTGGCTATTATTAGCTATTGATTATTATAAAACAGCACATGTCAATTCCTAATGTACATTGAATATACAAACAGGAAAATGAGTACTTACTGGCAGTATAGGCAGTTCGAGGCAAATTGAAACAATGGATTATTTGTCAGCAAGGAGTTTGAATGCTAGAATTTCTAAGTAGACAAGTCACTTAGGTGTTTCAAATAGACCGTGGAAGTGGTTATGTTTGTCATTAGATGGCTTCCACAAGAGTTTGCCTAAGGATAGCTTTGAGTAGAGGGAGACCAGTGGTCAAGATACTACTATTTTGAAGGTGAGAGATGAGAGACTTAAGACAAACAGTAGAATAGAAAAGCGTGAATTCAACTAATGTACATGTGGTAAATTGAGAAAAATGAGTTTGATTTTTAAAAATTTTAATAAGCTGTACCATTTCAGTATTATATATACCAGAAAATACACAAATCAGGAGTGTATAGTTTGATGAATTTTCACAAAGTGAACACAGTCATGTAACTAATACTGAAACTAAGAACTAGAAGATTCCAGCCCTCAGCAGTGTTCTTTGTGTCCTCTCCTAGTCACTATCACCAATTGAGCCTCTAAAATCATAGATTAGTTTTTTTTTTTTTGAGACGGAGTTTACTCTTGTTACCCAGGCTGGAGTGCAATGGTGTGATCTCGGCTCACTGCAACCTCTGCCTCCTGGGTTCAGGCAATTCTCCTGCCTCAGCCTTCTGAGTAGCTGGGATTACAGGCACGCGCCACCATGCCCAGCTAATTTTTTGTATTTTTAGTAGAGACGAGGTTTCACCATGTTGACCAGGATGGTCTCGATCTCTTGACCTCGTGATCCACCCACCTCGGCCTCCCAAAGTGCTGGGATTACAGACTTGAGCCACCATAGATCGGTTTTATCTGGTTTTGCACCTACATGAACATAATCATACTATACACACTCTTTTGTGTAAGACTTCTCTGGCTCAAAATTATGTCTGACAAATTCAAGGTTTTTGTTATACCTTGTGACAGACAGTTCCTTCTCATAATTTCTTTTATTGTGTAAATGCCACACAACATGCTTATCTATTCTGTTGTGTATGGACATTTTTGGTAGCTTTCAGTTGGGGACTCTTGTAAAACCTGATGCTATGGGCTGGATGGTGCCTCAGTTCTGTAATCCCAGCACTTTGGGAGGCTGAGGCAGGAGAATCACTTGATGCCAGGAGCTTAAGATCGGCCTGCAAAACAACATAATGACTCCCCATCTTTACAAAAATTTAAAAATGAAAAATTACCTGGGGTTGATGTGTGCACTTGTCATCCCAGCTACTAAGGAGACAGGAGGATTGCTTGAACCCGGAAGTTTGAGGTTATAGTGAGCTATAATTGTGCCACTGTGCTTCAGCCTGGGCAACAGAGAGCAAGCCTGACTAGAATATACATACAAAACTAGAATATATATATGTATTCTATATTATATATATTATAGAATATATATATATACATATATATATACAGACACATATATATATATATGTATCTGGGCAACAGAGAGAGATCCTGACTAGAATATATATGTATATATAATATAAATCTAGAATATATTTTGTATTATAGATCTATAATATATATCTAGAATAGATATATAATATAAAGAAAATATATCATATTCTAGATATATATTCTAGATCTATAATAGAAAATATAGATATAATATATATATAGAGAGAATATATATATATATATATTCTAGTCGGGATTACACTCTGTTGCCCAGATATATATATCAGCAACCAAACTCTCATAGTGCTAAAGAGTGGGGGTATATTTTATCTTATAGATCTACAATATATATATATGTTTATACATATTCTGTATTATATATATTTACATATATATAACCTAATATGAATATTTTTGTATATATATATATGAAATGACCCTGATTATATGAATATTTTTGTATTTATCATTTGCTATAAATATGCATGCAATTCTGTAAAATAGCAACAAATGGAATTTTTAGGTCATGCATGTGCTTTAGTATATACAGTGAAAACTCTTCAAAATTTTATAAAATATACCCCTACTCTTTAGAACTATGAGAGTTTGGTTGCCTCACATTTCCACCACAATTAATATTATCAGTCCTTTTCATTTTAGCTATTCTTGTGGAGATATAGTGGTATCTTACCATGTTTTGTTTGTATTAAAATTGAACAACTTTCATATGTTTATTTGCCAGTTTAATGTCATTTTTGCTAAGATGCCTACATGTTTGGCTCATTTATCTATTGTGTATCTCTCTTCTTCTTATTTCTTTCTTTCTATATATTCTGTATCAGATCCCTTGGTCAGTTACATTTCTCCTATTCTCTCTCATTTTTTTGGTTGCTCCTTTATGCTCTTGCTGATATGTTTAATAAGCAGAATTTCATGTAGATTAATCTATCCATTATCATTAAAGTTAGTGCTTTCTGTGCCCTGTTTGCACCATCTTTTCCTATCTTCTAAGTCTTTATGACTTAGCTCTTTTTCTACGTTTTCTTCTAGAACAAATTTGTTTCAAGTTTATCCCTTGAGTTGAATTGTGTATTTAGGGTACAGACTTTCAATATGCGTAACCATCTGACTTAGGTCCATATTGTTAAAAGACCGTACCGTAAAAGACCTCTGTGCAATAACATCTTTCTCATGAACGGGGTGTGGTCTGTGTATATGTTGGTATATTTCTGTACTCTATTCTTTCATTAAATAATGTGTCTATCCCTGTGTCAATATGACTGTCTTAACTGTTAGAAGTTTATGTCTTTCCTTTTTTTTTTTTTTTTTTTTTTGGTAGAGACAGGGTCTGCTACGTTGACCTGGCTGGTCTTCAACTCCTGGTTTCAAATGATCCTTTCACCTCAGTCTCCCAAAGTGCTGGAATTACAGCCATGAGCCACACCTGGCCCATAGCTTAGTATCTACTATTGTAGTTACTCTAAACTTGTTCTTCTTCAAGGTTTGTTTCTGACTATTTCCTGGCCTTTGTATTTCAATGTCAATTTGGATATCAGAGTGTCAACTCCTACCCAACAGTAACAACAGAACTGCTAGTATAATGTTTGAGATTGCATTGAATCCATAGATCATAGAGTGGTAAATTATGTAGTATTATTCACAGTACTGAGTTTTCTAAATTATATACATAGTATATTCCTACATTCTTTATTTAACAATTTTCAATCATGGTTTGTAATCTGTTTTGTAGATGGCTAAAGAGAAAGTAAATTTTAAAGAAAACTTGCAAATTTTGGTTTTGATGACAAGGTCCATGATGCTGTTCTATAGGCATATCTGGTTTTGCTGCACTTTGCAAATATTACATTTTATTATAAATTGAAGGTTTGTGGCAGTCCTGGTTCAGCAAGTCTATCAGTGCCATTTTTCCACAATATGTACTCACTTTGTGTCTCTGTGTCACATTTTGGTAATTCTCAAAATATTTCAAACTTTTTTGTAATTATTATATCTGTTTTGGTCATCTGTGATCAGTGATCTTTTTTGTTACCATTGTAATTGTTTGGGGGTAGCACAAAAATATTCATAAAAATGTCAAACTTAATCATAAATGTTGATTTATTTTATGTTCTGTTTGTTCTGACAGCTCCATCAACTGGCTCTTGATCCCCATCACTCTTGCTCTTCTCAGGCCTCCCTATTTCCTGAGAAACAACAATATTGAAATCAGGTCAATGAATAACTCCAAAATAACCTCTAAATGTTCAAATGAAAGAGTCATGCATCTCTCACTTTAGAAGAAAGGCTAGAAATAATTAAGATTATTGAGGAAAGCATATTGAATGCTGAGACAGGCTGAAAGCTGGGCCTTTTGCACCAAACACTTAGCCAAGTTGTGAATGCAAAAAAAAGTTCTTAAAGGAAATTAAATGTCCTAATCCACTGAATACAAGAGCAATAAGAAAGGAAAACAGCATTATTGCTGGTATGGAGAAAGTTTGAGTGGTCTGGATAGAGACCGTAGTGCTTAGTTCTCTAGAGAATTAGCAAGGCCCTAACTCTCTTCAGCTCTATGAAACTTCAGAGAGGTGAGGAAGCTGCAGAAGAAAAGCTGGAAGCTAACAGAGTTTGGTTTATGAGGTTCGAGGAGAGAAGCCATTTCAATAAAAGTGCAAGGTGGTGAAGCAGTAAGTGCTGCTATAGACGCTGCAGTAAATTATCCAGAAAATCTGGCTAAGATAATGGGTGAAGGTGCCTACACAAAACAGCAGATTTTCAATGTACACAAAACAGCCTTCTGTTGGAAGAAGATGCCATGTGGGACTTTCATGGCTAGAGAAGATAAATCAATTATTAGATTCAAGGCTTCAAAGGACTTTCTGACTTCCTTGTTAGGAGTTAATGCAGTTGGAGACTTTAAACTGAATCAATGCTCATCTACCATTCTGATGATCCAAGGGCCCTTAAGAATTATGCTAAACATACTCTGCATGGGATCTGTAAATGAAACTACAAAGCCTAGATGACAGCACATCTGTTTATAGCCTGGTTTACTGAATATTTTATGCCTACTATTAAGACCCACTGCTCAGAAAAAAAAGTCTTTTAAAAAAATATTACTGCTCTTTTACAACACATCTGGTTACCCTCAAGCTCTGATGGAGATCTACAAAGAGATTAATATTGTTTTCATGCATACTAACACACCATCCACTCTGCAGCCCATGAATCAAGGAGTAATTTTTTACTTGTACATCTTATTATGTAAGAACTACATTTTGCAAAGCTCTTGTTTTCATAGACAGTAATTCCTCTGATGGATATGGGCAAAGTAAATTGAAAACCTTCTGGAAAAGATTTATCATTCTAGATGTCATTCAAAACATTTGTGATTTATGTAGGGAGGCCAAAATATCAATATTAACAGCAGTTTGTAAGAAGTTTTCAACCCTCATGGATGACTTTGAGGGACTGAACTTTTCAGTGGAGGAAGTAACTTCAGATGTAGAAGAAATAACAAGACAACTAGAATTATAAGTATAGCCTGAAGATATGACTGAATTGCTGCAATTTCATAATAAAACTGAAAAGATGAGGAGTTGCTTCTTATAGATAAGCAAAGAAATTGGTTTCTTGAGATGAAATCTAGTCCTGGTTAAGATACTGTTAACATTGTTAAGATGACAACTATTACATAATTTGCTAAGTCAACAGAGCAATATTTAAGATCATTGATTCCAATTCTGAAAGAATTTGTATTGCATGCAAAGTGTTGTCAAACAACATCATATGCTACAGACAAATTTTTATGAAAAGAAAAAATTTCTGTGTGATAAATTCTATTGTTGTTTTATCTTAAGAACTTTCCACAACCCCCGAAACCTTCGGAAACCAACAACTTGACCAGTCAGCAGCCGTCGACATCAGGGCAACACCCCCCACCAGCACAGAATATGACTTACTGAAGCCTCAGATGGTTGTTAGCATTTTTTCATCAATAAAGCACTTTTAATTAAGGTATGTACATTTTTGTTTTAGACATGATACTATTGCATACTTAGTAGACTACAGTATAATTAAACATAACTTGTTTATTTTAAATGTATACATCATATTTATAAGGTACATATAATATTTTACTGAATTCATCGAACGTGTAATGATAAAGTCAGGGTATTTAGGGTATTCATTACCTCAAGCATTTATTTTTTCTATGTGTTGGGAACATTTCAAGTGCTCTCTTCTAGCTATTTTGAAATAAACAATATATTGTTGCTATCTATAGTCATTCTTCTCTGCTACTGAATAGTAAAATTTATTCCTTCTCTCTAACTGCATGTTTGTGCCAGTTAATCGACCTCACTTCCCCCCTTTTCCATACATACTCCCCCTTTTCAGCCTCTGGCAACTATCATTCTATATTCTGCCTCCATGAAATCAACTATTTTAGCCCCCATGTATGAGTGAAAATATGCGATATTATTCCATTAAATGGATTTCTTTTTTTTTTTTTGAGACGGAGTTTCTCTCTTGTTACCCAGGCTGGAGTGCAATGGCATGATCTTGGCTCACCGCAGCGTCCGCCTCCTGGGTTCAGGCAATTCTCCTGCCTCAGCCTCCTGAGTAGCTGGGATTACAGGCACGCGCCACCATGCCCAGCTAATTTTTTGTATTTTTAGTAGAGACGGGATTTCACCATGTTGACCAGGATGGTCTCGATCTCTTGACCTCATGATCCACCTGCCTCGGCCTCCCAAAGTGGTGGGATTACAGGCGTGAGCCACCGTGCCCGGCCCCCATTAAATGGATTTTTAAGCATTTGCTATTCTTTTCTCCTTCTAGAATACCCAACATTTGAATATTTCATTGCTTTATGGTCTCTTATATGACATGCAGTCTTTATTTATTATTTTAATTTTTTTATTGCTTTTTTCTGACTGTTATTTCAAAATATCTGTTTTCAAGTTCTGAAATTCTTTTTTCTACTTAGTCTACTGTATTGTTGAATCTTTCAACTGTATTATATTTTATTCATTGAATTATTCAGTTCCAGAATTTCTGTTTATTTCTTTACAATATCTCTCTTTGATGAATTTCTTATTCATATTCTGAATTGTTTTTCTGATTAATTTTTAATGCTTATCTGTGCTCTCTTACATCTTCCTGGGCTTGTTTAATATAAATATTTTAAACTATTTTTCAGACATTTTGTAATTTCTTTTTCATTGCAATCTGTTGCTGGAGAATTATGGTTCTTTTAAAGGGGTTATATTTTCTTGCTTTTTCATTTTTCTTGTGTCTTTATGTTGATATCTGTGCATCTAATGTAACAATTCCTTCTTTGAATTTTTTGGATTGGCTTTACTAGGAGAAGACTTTTCTCTATAGATATATTATGGTGTTGGCTGTGTATGGCACATTTCCTCAGTGGTTTGAACTGCAGTTGTCAGTGGAGGTTGTCATGAGGCTGGGTGCTGGGGATGAGAATGGCAAGTGGGCCAATTCTTGGGCCCCATCTGTGGCAGTGGTGTGTAAGTGTGCTAATTTTTGGGCCTCCAGGTGGCCTGTGGAGATACTGGTGTTAGTGGGTCCAGGCAGGACAATCCTTTGGCCTGTATATGGCTTGCTCAGGTGCCAGCAATGGCTTCAGTGAGCTGGACTGGTAGGTGGATCTTCAGGCCCCTAGGTAGCATATGTGGTGTGTGTGATGGCAATAGAAGTAGCAGGGCAACTCTCAGGCTCCCATGTGGCCTGTGTTGTGTTAGCAGTGGCTGCGACTGGCTGAGCAGGCCAGTCCGCAAGCCCTCAGGTGGCCTGTGCAGGTGGGTGCTAGCAGTTGTGGCGGCAGCAGAGTGGGTGCCCATCCTCAATCTTTTGGAAGGAATGAGCTGATGCCCGTGGTGGAGGATGGGGCAAGATGATCTCCAGACTTTCAGACAGTGTGTTTGGGCACTGGCATCTAGTTTTCTGGGCCTGGTGTTAGCTCCCCAATATTCTACATGCATATCCAAGACCACTGACAGAGCAAGGCAATCCCAGGCTGCTAGTGGGTGGGTGCTGAGGGGATTGTGCCAGGCTGGGTGGGCCTGTTCTCATTCTCCTTGCTGATGTAATCCCCAGGGCCCAGTGGTATGTTCAGGTAGCAGCAGCAGCAGCAGCAGCAGTAATGAGCAGGGAGAACCTCTCCTCAGAGTATGTGCAAGTATGCAGTGGTTCTGCTGCTGGTGGGAGACAGAATTGCCATCAGTGGCAACAGCCCCAGGCAAGTGGTTTTCAGGTTCTGGGGAGTGCACTTAGACGCACTTTGTCTGGGGCAGGCTTCCTGGTGAGCTTCACTACCTGTTCCTCAGAGGCTAGGATATTTTATGGGCTGGAATGTTGAGGGCCCTGCCACACTGCTGGATCCAGTGGGCAACGTCATTGCTGTAGTCCTCTAGGTGGATGCAGGGAGCATAACAGTGGGGATGCAGGGATATGGAGATTCAGGGACTGTTAGACCCCAGGGCAGGATGCAATCTGGTGGGGTCTGGACTGTCAAGGTGGTGCTGTGCAGCTGCTGGGGTTTAGTGGGGATAAGGGACCCAGCATGAGCTCCCCCTAGCATGAGCTCCCTCTCTAGAGCAATGCCATCTCCCGAACTCCAGGCAGTTCCTGCACGAGTCTCTGGACAGATGAGGACAGCGTGGAGGGGGGCTCCCAAGCCTAGGATTGCATGAGTCTCTGGTGGGAATTTTAATCATTGTGAGTCTTTCACTCACCCTTTCCTTCAACTGAGGAGCCTCTCCAGTCTCCCACCTAATCCTGGCCCAGCTGGCTGCCTTGCTTCTGTCTCCTTCTATGCCTTAGGTGTTTCCTGTCACTTTTCTAATGAATTTCACTGCCTGTCTTAAGTGATCTATGTGAAGTGTGATTATCTACTAACTATTTTGGGGTTTGTTTTGTGGAGGAGGTGAGTTTCAGGTGCCTCTAGTCAGCCATCTCAAATCCCCCTGAAACATAACTTTCTTATGCATCAGGAAACAGAAAATTTTTTGTGATTAGCTTTATTGCAATATTCATATTATTCTTCTGGCTTGGAACTGAACACGCCATATATCTTAAGTATGACTGTATAAGGTTGTGTGTGTGTGTGTGTGTGTGTGTGTGTGTGTGTGTGTAGTGATATTAACAGGTATGTGGTGTAGTAAAATCATTTTGAGATGGCTTTGGAACACATAAAAATATCTAAAAAGAAGGTGAAGCTATCTACAAATCTGGAACTTAGGAAAAGGCTTACTCAACACATATTTAATGTACATCTGTTATATTCCAGCAACTTAACTAGGTCCTGGGAATAAAATGGTGAACAAAACATCTACAAAAAGCAAAGGCCTCTGCCTTCCTTATAAAGAGTCAGATATTAATCAAAGAATCACAAAAATTCATACACATTTCCAGAAGTTAATTGAGAGAATTGATACTAGGAGTTCAGAAAGGTTACTTCAAGGAAGTGTTCAAAAGTTTTCAGTGGGAGAAAAATTGATTGTGATATTTCCATAAAAAAAAAGTTAGCATAAGCTGCTAAAGGGAGATGGAGCATAATGAGACATGACCCCACAGGATCTTGAGTGTATGCCGACGTGATTATCTTGAGCAGCTGGAGAAACAGAAAGGTTTATGAAATATGTGTGCCCTATTAGGTGGCAAATATTATAGAATGTTTCAACATTGCAAATAGTTTTATCGAGAAGCTCTGTATGGAGATTTCATTTGCCAGTCAATTGTACATAAGGGAAATTGAAAAGATAGGCATTGATGTGCTTGATAGGAGAAAGTAAATAGTTACAATAGGGCCTTATATTGAGGAGCGCCAACACTTAATAACTGTGAGGAATAGAAGGACCCTTAAAAGGAGGCAGAGGAGAGGAGTGAAAGGTAGACAGACATTCAGTAGAGTGCTGTTTCATGGGTGACTAAAGGAGTACATGGTACAAAATGCTGTAGATGCCATAAGATGAAGATTAAAAACACCTGCTAGATTCAACAATAGGTGACATTATCAGAAGTTGTTTTAATAAGAGTGAGAGAGAAATTCAGAATATATATAAGTACATCAAATATGTATGAATAGTTGAGAAATTTGAATACAAAGCAAAGGAGAGAAATAGCAAAGACTAGAAAAATATTATGGAATTCCAATATTTTTGCAGGTGTTTTCTTAAGGAGGAAACATGAGCATGCTTATGCCAATTAGAAGGTTATACTGAGAGAGAAGATAGATTTACAAAATGAAGAACAAGATAATCTAATTTTGAGTTTCAAGAGACATGGAAGCCATGTGTTTGTGTTGGAGCCTGGCTGCTCAGTTTAGTCACTTTTACCAGGATGTCTCTGTTCTCCAGAAGTGATGAGTATGAATGTAGGGTAAACAGGGTCAGGGTTTTGTAGCAGGAACAGCAATGATGTTAATACATAAAGAAGGTGACAGAAGTCAACAAAGGGCAGTTACAAAGGTAGGACTCTGGAGAGAAGGCTGAAGCAGTGATGTCATTTATCAATCTTGGAAGACTAGACAGTAATAGAAGAGCTGAGGTCCTGGAAGGCATGATGCAGTTATGTGCACATGGATGTGAGTGAAGAAGAGGCTGATCAGGGTGAAAGGTTATGGCCGAAATGAAAACAATAGTGTGAAATTCCAAAGTGGAGCACATCCAGATGCCAATATAATTAGTGAATTTCTGAGTGAATATAAAGTTTTCGAGAGTTGAGGAGTTTAAGGGGATATAATGATTGAGATGGGAGTAAGTCATTCTAAGCATTGAAATGTCTCAAGATGATTGCAGGGGTTGAGGTTAAAACAAAAATAGTTAATGGGATTTTGAAGCCTCTAGGAAATGTTGGAGAGAATGATGGAGCCTTAAAAATTGTAACACCTGATGAAACTATATTCGAAATAGCAAGTGGTATGGCTGAGTCATCTATTAGTACTACTAAGTTTGATTTTTTCCATCTGTAAAATTGTAATCGTATTTTCCTGCAAATGTATTACAGTTTGAATAGCATTTGTTTGACTCCACCAAGTCTCAGGTTAAAATCTGATCCTCACTGTGGGAGGTGGGGCCTGGGGAGTGGTGTTTGGATCATGGGGGCAGATCCCTCTTGAATGTTTTGATATAATTCTCATGGGAGTGAGCGAGTTCTCACCCTTAGTTTCCACAAGAACTGGTTGTTGAGAAGAGCCTGACACCTAGATTCAACAATAGGTGACATTATCAGAAGCTGTTTTAATAAGAGTGGGAGAGAAATCCAGAATATATATAAGTATATCAAATATGTATGAATAGTTAGAAATTTGGATGCAAAGCAAAGGAGAGAAATAGCAGAGACTAGAAAAATATTATGGAATTTCAATATTTTTGCGAATATTATGTAATTCCAATATTTTGTCGCAGCTTTCTCTTGCCTGTTTTCTCATCAAGTGATCTGTACATACTGGTTCTCCTTCACCATCTGCCATGAGTGGAAGCAGCCTGAGTCCCTCTCCAGAAGCAGACTCAGGCACCAAAGTTCCTATAAGCCTGCAGAACTGTGAGCTAAATGAACCTGCTTTCTTTGTAAATTATTCAGCCTCAGGTCTTTTTAGCAACACAAAAACAGACTAAAACAAAAAGTCATTGATATTAATGTATTAACATAAGCACATTGCTTATATCCTGTGCCTAATACATAATATGTGCTCTAAAAATAGTTTTCTTTTACTAATACTAAGAAGATACTACATTTAGTCAACAATGGAAATCCTGAGGCTAACATCTGGTTGTGGGTGATGAAAGAAACTTGCTATGATTATGCATGGTTCTGTGACAACCAGAGGCTCAGCCTGGGACTCTGTTTTCTCTGACCTCACAGAAAAGACACAGCTGGTGAGTGATGTCAGGGTGTATCAATGGATTTAAGGACATTTCTCTTACTTTAGTAAGCAAATTCTTGAGCATTTGGATGCTGCAGTGATTTGAAGAAAGCTGATAATATATTGTGACAGAAACTCCAATTGTCAGCCTGGGTCGCCAGAGTTCATGCCTCACAGGAATCCAGAAAGAGAAAGCATGTGCCTCAGCATCTGGGAAGACACATTTCTTATGTAAGCTCATGTCTCAAAGAAATCGATCAAGTTCAAAACTATGAAGGCAGCATTTTATCAAGCCAACTGGATCTTGTCAGGAGAGACGAATCAGCAGGGAGGCAGCCTTGAAAAAGCTGTGCCTAGTACAAGCCAGCACTCCAATGTAGTGAAAAGTTGCTAATATAAAGAATGGAACAAGGGTGTGCATAGGAGGGCAGGAAATTTGAGAATTAAAGATTTTTACTGCAACTCAGAAATACAGCCCCACAGATTTTATTGGGCCGTTAGCAAAATTTGCTTGGATTTTTCTGATGCAGTAGGTCATCTCATAAAGAATTTCCCCATGGATTCACATTCTTTGAAGTCACATTTTCTATCTCTGTAAGTCACCCCTACTGTATAAACTTGACATGCTTAATTGTTCACAGAGCACATTTATGACAAGTAAGCTAATTAAGTATTTGTTGGCTCTTACCGCAAAGTTATTACTTTAAATCATGAAATCAGATGGGAGCTTACTTTCGCAAATCAGAAAGATTGACTAGCCTGGGTAATTCTTTTTTTTCTTTTTTCCTTTTTTTTTTTTTTTGAAACGGAGTCTCACTCTGTCGCCTAGGCTGGAGTGCAGTGGTGTGATCTCAGCTCACTGCAATCTCCATCTCCCAGGTTCAATTAATTCTCCTGCCTCAGCCTCCCAAGTGGTTGGGATTACAGGTGCCCACCTCCACTTGGCCTGCGTAATTCTGAAGGAGTGCTTAGTCCTGAATTTTATGTCTCATAAAACTAATTCCCAAATTTTTTTCAAAATTTTATTTACTGCAAGATTATTGTCAGTTGTAAGAACTATTTAGCCTAATAGATTGTTTCATTCAGAGGAAAGGAATAAGACAATGTTAAAAAATGGTAGGTTTTATAACCAAGCTATTGCTCGGAATTTTTGCAGGAATATTTTTGATGCTTAGCAGAGTGGAGACAGAAAAGTAAAATTAAAACATTTTGGGGAGGTCAAGGTGGGTGGATCACCTGAGGTCAGGCGTTTGAGACCATCCTGGCCAACATGGTGAAACCCTGTGTCTATTTAAAATATAAAAACTTAGCCAGGCATGGTGGTGGGTGCCTGTAATCCCAGCTACGTGGGAGGCTAAGACAAGAGAATCGCTTGAACCTGGGAGGCAGAGGATGCAGTGAGACGAAATCATGCCATTGCACTCCAGCCTGCCCAATAAGAGAGAAACTTTGTCTCAAAAAGAAAAGAAGCTGTATACACACACATACACACACACACAGACACATATAGAGAGAGAGAGAGGGAATTTTATCCCATATCCTAGGAAAATCTAGTAAATTTTCTTACTGTTACAGAAATTTTTGGAAGAGATTACTTCATGTGTTAAAGTAGTTATGCAAATAAGAATGCAAACAAGCCTAAGAGAAAACCCAAATTATGGAGATTTATGAAGTGGTAGAGAAAATTAGAAAACAAGAATGAATAGGTTAATAATAAATTAACATATAACAATTTGGAGAGGGTGTGAGTTGAAAGATGGGGGGAAAACATGAGCCCAGATAGAAAAGCAAGGAGGTAAGTAAACAAAGAATCAGGTGGTTCACTTGGTTAATTAACATTGTATTCTTCCTTACATGAGTTGTATTAATATTTCCTAATCCAAACTACAACCAGGTGATCCTCTTGGCTTTCTCGGTGAGACAGACAATGAAGTGAGAAAGGGAGAAAGGAAAGAACATTCGATAGTCGCTGTCACAGAGAAAAGGAATGGAAAATTGGTTGGACCCGGGGGATGAAGATGTGCCTCTCATGGACATAGGCCAGTAGGTGCTAAAATCGATCAGTAATACAAATGCCTCTACCACCTTCAATTTCTGACTGAGATCTTTCCTTCTCTTTGTTCATGATATGCTGCATTTTGCTAAGGATGCTTTGGTGAAATGAGGAAAATACATCTAAAAGTTGGTAAAAAGCTATATAAAGTTGCCAAAATTTCCATGAAACAGCATTGTTAATTAGACAGTGATGACGAGTTTTATCAATCATCCAAGAATTAGTGCTCTGGGGATATATAATACAATTTTTGTAAAATGATATTTTAAGGAAGTTTAAATTTTATAGTGCAGGCTACATTGTAATTATTATTGAATAAACGCATAGACATGTTTAGTGGGTGAAAGTAACTAGATGAAAATAATACATTTCATTGGTAAGACATTATATGCGTGTATATACAAGTACACAGATACATATTCTTTTTTTCTTTTAGAAAAAATATTTTCAATTGTTTTATTGTATATGAGTCTTTTCTTGTTTTAAGGTAGTATTTCACAAGTTTCATTTAGCATTGTTTAGGTCAGTATTCTGTCTTTTTTTTTTTTTTTTTTTGAGATAATGTCTCACTCTGGTTCTCAGACTTTGTATCCAACTTCTGGGCTCAAGCTATTCTCCTGCCTCAGCCTCCCAAAATGCTGAGCCACCATGCCTGGCACTATTCTGTTTCCATCATGCTTTTTGATTCTGATGTTGGCCCTTAGAAGGGGTTTAAAGAGTGACCCTAGTTTCAGTGCTTACAGTGCTCATAGATGCTGTCGCCTTTTCCTGCTTAGCTCCTGGTTTTTAGATTATATGTATGAGTATTTCACCCCATTCTAGTTTGCATGTCAGTGGATATTATTTTTGTGTTCATGTGTTGAATTAATTTTAGTTGAGCCTATTTTGCTTTAATAGTCAAATTCTACGAGTAATCCAAAGAAGCAAATGTTGTTTATAATCCCCTTTGTATCACGCAGGATATGAAAATCTAAATAACCCGTAATAGATTGCTCCTAAATTTCACCTCAAACTTTGCTTCTGTTTAGCAAGTTGCAACAATATACTGCCTTACCTCTCTCTCTCATTCCTGCTGTGTGGAATCTTGGCAGTTGTGGAGACAAATATAAATGAGAAAAAATATGAAAAGGAAATAGGGAGATGATTCTTGTCCTGACTGGCCCAGATGATGGCACTAGTGTGGTAGGTTTTCCTTAGTGTGTCCCTGTGTCACAAGTGTACCCTGAGATGAGGCATCATATTTGCCTACTTTCTTTGGGAGCTTATTGTTAGCAGCAGTGAATCCATATGGGTCTGCAGCAACCTCAGTTCTTACCTTCTCCGAAGAAAGAATTCAACTGAGGGGCATAAGAAGTCAGAAGAGGAGACAGAGGCAAGTGTTAGAGCAGGAGTGAACGTTTATTAAAAAGCTTTAGAGCAAAAACAAGAGGAAGGAAAGTACACTTGGGGGAGGGCCAAGTGGGCAACTTGAAGGACAAGTGTCAGGTTTGACATTTTGACGTGGGGTTTTATATGTTGGCATATTTCCAGGGTCCTTTTCCCTGATTCTTCCGAGGGACTGGGCTTTCCGCATGCGCGGTAGCTGCTAGTGCTTGGGCAGGGAACGTGTAGTGTGTTTACTGGAGTTGTACGCATGCTCACCTGAGGTGTTTTTCCCCTTCTCTGACAGAATGCCACTGAACGGTCATATATGAGTTAAATTCTGCCATTTCGCCTGTTTGTGCACATGTGTGTGTCCACTCGCCTAGCTCCCGAGATCTTACAGGAAACTGCCAATCACCATTTTCACCATTTCTTCATAGGGAAACCACTTTTCCTGGCACTGGTGTGGCCAGTTATTTTAGAGAGAGAGTGTGGCCACTGCCTGACTTGATGGTCGCCTGACTTTCCCGGTGGTGTGTGGGGGCCCTCTCCTGCCCTATTCATGCCTGACTAGCTACCCACTGTCACATTATGATGTTACTTTCTGAAAAGCCAAACATGGTATGTAGTCCAAAAAGGTTCTTCTCAATTTCCCAAAATTGTACAGTTAGCAATGAGGATAACAAATGTTTTTGAGCACCTGATAAGTGCCAAGGAATACCACAGACTAGTAAAATAAAACAGAGAAGACATCTAACTCTATGACAGATAAAATCCAGCAAGTATATATTAATTCCAGATTCTGGAATTAATTTCTATGACATTTTTGGTTTCGAATATGGTTCCTCTTTGTATCCTGTTTCAGTATATCTTCATGAACATTTTTATACGAAATTTGAAGGACACATATTGGTTTGGTTAGCCTCCTGTCATCTTTATCCAGATTTTTTCTTCTTAAATCTTGTCACAAGCATTTTGTTCCATGTGGTTTTTCTTCACTACTGCAAATGATAAAAAAAAGGGGGAGGCAGTTTTTCTAGTTCTTTCCCTTCTTTCTGCTCTCAAACACAATTTCATGACGCCTTAGGATTCAAGACTTAGCTACTTAGGCTAAGCAAACAGCAATAATAGCAAACATGTAGCAGTAACAAAATTTTAACCTTTTTTTATAGTCTAAAACATTGCTTTGTTCCAAGTTCCATTTCAAGATGTAAATGGAAACTACTTTGAATTTTTGCTCTTAGATTTTATCTTTGAGTATAAAAATTACCTATCCTTAGCCAACACTTTAATTCCACCAATCTGTAAGTCTTATTTGGGCTCCAAACCTTCTATGAAAAAAACCTTTAATTGTATTTAAGACCAGTTATGCAGTCAGTGAAATATTTTATTGCTTGAGCTTTGATTTTTACCTGGATATTTATAAAAATTCATAAACTGTTAAATTAATACATAGATCTTTAAAGGTTTTCTTTTGTTCTTGAAAAACCTAAAGTGTTATTGCATTTAGAAAGTGATTATTTTGTAAATTATATGTCAACATATTTTGGCATAAGGTTTGTTAAAAACACTCCTTTTGTTCCCCTTTATAGAGCCTGTTTCTGTGCCATTAAATTGATAACAACGTGTTTGGAGATGAGCAAGATGGAACCGATGAAGCATCTGGACTGGAAAATTCTCACAGTAGGACCTGCTAACTTGATTCTCTCATCACCATGGCAACAGTCTTTGGTCAGTAGAACCCCGTAATGAGATGGTTTAGTTCAATTAGGGTTTAAAATATTCTTCTACCATTGTGTATGAAATATACAAAAGCACTTGTCTAAAAATAGCTAACACCCTCCTATGACTTACACTATATTCTGTGTTCAGTAGAGCTCATGCAAAAGGTAAATGAGAAAATACATCTCTAGGCTCTTTCATTTATTGTGTCCATGATGAAGGCATAACACTTAAATGTCTCTAAAAAAATTAACATGTGTATATAAGTTCAAAAATATACTACGCTGATTAAATATGATTTGGGATATAGACACATTTATACATAGTTTTCAGTTATTGTTAGCAGAAAGCCTGGCTCAGAAGATAAGTGCATAATTTGAGGTTGAAAATATCAGCATTAAAGTGAGGAAGAACACTTCAATGAATAAAGGTGTTGCCCACATGGTGACAGATATCTAAGAGGAATGGTCTTATGCTGATAGCTCAGTTTCAATTCCCACTTTCCATTTATGCCAGACTTGAGACTGACTTCTGGCCCCCATTCTTTCTCCTCTTTCTTAGCAGAGCACGAACCACCTCCCACTTAATTGAAAAATAGAGGCCATCTGGCATGCACTCCTACCACTCCACCTACAAACATCTGCATCCATTTACCTCCTTAAGGTTCATTTCCATATGTACCTTTATCTTTTCTCCTGGATTTTCAATCTCCTTTTCTAACAAAAATGTATATGCAAGTTTCTCACATCTTAAAATGACAAAAAGAACATAATGTAAAATGTGTTCTTGCCTCTTGTTTTGGTTTTTTTTTTGCCTCTTAGGAACCAAGCCTTTTCAAAAGAGTCATTTATTTTCTCACTTCTCTTTTACTCTTTGACCTGCTGAAATCTCTACTGCCCATCACTGGACTAAAATTGTTGTCAGTGAAATCATCAAGAGCATTTAATGAATTGTTTATGTACCAGATAGTAGACTGCAATTTGATGACACAATATTGAATAAGAAATGTCTTTATTCTCAAGGCAGTCACAAATCGTAGTTCTGATAGACCTTTCAGCACTGAACACATTCTTCTGAACCTGTGATATTTCCAGTTTTTGTGTCTCTTCTAACCCTGTGGATTAGAAATCCCTTTGCCATTCCTCCTCCACACCATACTGCCTCTACCATACCCTTAGGAAATCCCTGCTTTTAATTGCTCTACCTGTCCTCATGTTCCTCTGATGCTGTTTTTGGTTTCATCTGGCCATCAGCCTCCGCTTTTCAGGATCCTATTAGCTCTTCAGATCTAGTTCTAAGCCAAGTCTTTTGTGAGGCCTTCTCTAAACCTTGTCAATTAAGTTTCATTAGATTCCTCAATTCCATAAAGTTTTACCTATATGGTTAATGTTTCACACCATACACTATCTTCTGATTTGTTATATCTGCAGTCTTCTATTTCTTTAATTAAAATTTTTATTTTTAGACAATTGTAGATTTCCATACTGTTGTAAGGAGTAATGCATAGAATTCTGACGTATTCTTTACTCTGTTTTCTTCAATAATAAAGTCTTTCAGAACTGTAGTATGGATTCAGTATTCCTTATCCAAATGCTTGGGACCAGAAGTCTGGGTGTGGTGGCTCACGCCTATAATCCCAGCACTTTGGGAGGCTGAGGTGAGTGGATCACTTGAGGTCAGGAGTTCAAGACCAGCTTGGCCAGCATAGTAAAACCCCATCTCTACCAAAAATACAAAAATTAGCCAGGTGTGGTGGTCCACATCTGTAGTCTCAGATACTCGGGAGGCTGAAGCAGGTGAATGACTTGAAGCCAGGAAGCAGTGGTTGCAGTGAGCTGAGATCGCACCACTGAACTCCAGCCTGGGTGACAGAGCAAGATTCAATTTCAAACAAACAAACAAAAAAATGCTTGGGACCAGAGAGTTTTGGATTTTATAAATTTTCTGATTTTTGAATATTTACATGTACATACTGATTATCCATGCCTTTTTCTTAGCATACTAATAAACTGGTAAGAAATGCACTCCTTGAAAACAGTGAGGATGCAGAGTTTTGGCTATCACAGAGAGGTAACACTTGTGACTGTCTGCTGCAGTAGCACAGTGTAGCAGTTATTCTGTTCTTGGAATCCTTAATTTTTGTAGGGTCTGTCTCATCAGCTGAAGACAGTGCCTTTCTGGGGGCAATAACACCAAAAGACTGATGTTTCATCAACATAATAGACTTACTTTCGTGTCAGATTTTTGTCAACAATGACCTTGGCAACCTCGCCAATGAATTTCTCCACTGCTTCATAATCAACAAATAGTTTATCACTACAAATTTAAAATAAAATCATGCTGCATCTTTTCTTAAATTTCTGTAATCAGCATGTTTAATGTTCACAGTTCTCTTTAATTTTTAATTCATTATAATAGGTCTTCAGGTTTTTTGTTTGTTTGTTTTGTTTTGTTTGAGACACAGTTTTGCTCTGTTGCCCAGGCTGAAGTACAGTGGCACTATCTTGGCTTACTGCAACTTCTGCCTCCAGGGTTCAAGCGATTCTCATGCCTCAGCCTCCCAAGTAGCTGAGATTGCAGATGCAGGCCATTATGCCAGGCTAATATTTGTATGTTTAGTAGAGATAGGGTTTCACCATGTTGGCCAGGCTGGTCTCAAACTCCTGACCTCAAGTGATCTGCCTGCTTTGGCCTCCCAAAGTGATGGGATTGCAAGGCATGAGCCACTGCTCCTGGTCGACCTTAGTTTGTATCATGATAATCGCACCATTAAAAGGCGTGTGTTTACTGAAATACGAATGCATCTGCATTTTCAATGCACAATCAAAATCTTCACTTTTAACTTTGTGCAGTGTTTTTTGATTTTCCACTAACTGCTCATCATCATTTTTAGCACAGAAAGTCTAAGTTTATTCTTCTGTTTCTTCAGGTCATATATGATAATCATTCCAACACGATACTTTTCTGTAAGATGTTTCACACTTACATCGCTGCCCAGTTTCTCCAACAGTTTGACTTTATGTGCTTTAGATAAACAAAAATGCTTCCTCTTTTTTTTCATTACCGGTAGCTACAGGGGTATCTATAGACCTTTTTGACACTTTGACCAATCTTTTTACACTATAGAGCAGAGAATAAGCAATGGTAAGTAATGGATATAGGTCTTGGTCCCATGTGGGGCATTGTGAGGAACATGACTTTGGTGTATCGGGACTACACATGTGTCATTTTATTACCCCTGTGGCCCTGCCTGTGTTGGGGAGTCTGAGTATGTCCGGAAAAGACGTATCACAGCTGAGGTGGGGGGAGAAGGGCATTTTTTCTTGGGGACACTGAATAAATGGTAAGTTGTGCACATGCATTTTAACTGACCTGTCACATGAAGTCAGGTACAGAAATTCCTACTTGTGATATCTTGTCAGCAATCAACATGTTTTTTGAATATTTTTGAAGCATTTGTTGTTCCAAATTTGTTGTAGCATTTTGGAGATCAAATTTTCAGATTAGGGTTGTACAACCTGTACAATATCATAATGAAGATACTGAAATAGGTACAGTCAAGGTGCAAAATATTTCTGTTACTGCAAGGATACCTTATGCTGCCCTCGTGTAGCCTTAGTCACTTACTTCTTACCTTTCACTCCTCTTTAACTCTGGCAACCACCCATCTCTTCTCCATGTTGATAATATTGTCATTTCAAGAATGTTACATGAGTGCATTCATACTCTGTATAATTTTCTTACTTGTTTTGTGGTTTTAATTTTTTTTTCACTGAGTATAATTTCTCGGAAATTTATCCGTTTTACTCATTCACTCACTGAAGGACATCTAGGTTCTTTCCATTTGGGGGCTGTTATGAATACAATTGCTATATTAACATACAGTTTTTGCATAAATAAAGTTTTCATTTCTCTGGAGTGAAGGTCAAGGAGTGCAATTGCTGGGTCATATGGTAGTTGCATATTTAATGTAAGAGACTGCTGAGCTGTTTTTCACAATGGCTGTACTATTTTTCATTCTCACCAGCAATGTATGAGCGATCCAATTTTTCACATCCTCATCAGCATTTGGTGTTGTTATTTAATATGTTAGCCATTCCGATAGCTATTGAGTGACAACTCATTGTGGTTTTAATTAGCATTTTCTTAATTGTTAATAGTGATGAATATTTTTGTATGTGCTTATTTTTTATCTCTGTATCTTTCATAGAATGTCTGTTAATGATTTTTTTTTACTTTCTAACTGGATTTCTTTTCTTTTACTATTTTATTTTGAGAGTTCTTTTCATGTTCTAGATAACATTTTGTATATACTATTTGGTGACATTCTCTTTCAGTCTTTAGTTTATCTTTTTATCCTCTTCGTTAAAAAACCAGTTGGACATATTGATTTATTTAAGTAAACCAGTCCCTTGATATATTTTCTCTAGTTTTTCTATTATCAGTTTATATTATTTCTATTCCTTTGTTTACTGTTTTCTTCTCCTTGACTTGGTTTTATTTTATTCTAACTTCTTGACCTGAGATCATAGATTCTTGCTGTGAGACTCTCCCTCTTTTTGAATGAATTCTCTTAGTACTATGTTTCTCTCTCAGCATACTTTGCATTTTAATTTTCATCAAGTTCCGTGTATTTTTGGTTTTCTCTTGATATTTCTGCATTAACCCATGGATTATTAAAAAGTATGCTGTTTAGTTGTCAAGCGTTTGCATATCTTGTGTTTGTTGTTGTTGCTGATTTCTAGTTTGATTCTGTTATCATTAGAGATTATACTCTGCATGATTTCAATTCTTTTAAACGTGTGGAAGTTTGTTTTATGACCTTTTATAATGTTTTGGGATGTGGTCTATCTTGGTACATGTTACGTGGGAAATCGAGAATAATGTGTATTCTGCTATTGTTGGTGTAGTGATCTACAAATCATATTTAGATGCTGGTGGTTGGTGGGATTGAATTATTTTATAATGTTGGCAGTTTCCTATTCAGTTCTATTGATTTTTGAGAAAGG